GGAGGGAGGGAGGGAGGGAGGGAGCTGAATGAGCCAACAGCAAAGGTGTACATTAGCTGAATAATATTAAAGAGTCAGAATTTGACTCTCACCTCTGTGACTCCATTATCTTCACTAACAATACTCAGATATAAATCATATGTGCATACCCTAAACCAACTTGGCAAGTTTGGGAATCCAATTTTCTCCAAACTGCCAGAGTTAGCGTCTTGAAGTCATTTTGGGTAAGCAGGGGTGGAAGGGAAGGAAACTCACATCTATTAAGGTACTACCATCTGCCACGCAGAATGTGAAGCACTTTTGTGTGCTCTGTCTGTACTACAGATTTTCCTTTTTGTGAACTTCTGCTGCTATTTCCCCATAGAAACCCACGGCATCAGGAATGTAAATGATCATAACCTTCAAGTTGCTCTTAACACCTAATGCAAATGTGTAAAGGACTCAACCTAGGCAAGCAATAACACGACTAAATTTCTGTAGCACAGGGGAAGTTTACAAAATGCTTGCACATATTTCATTTTACATACCACTTAAAACAACATTTGGAGGCAGATGGAGAATACATTGTTATCTGTTTTACAGGTGTGAAACAGAGTTTCTTGCAGAATAAGAGTTTTGTCCAAAGCAATACAAGTTAGGGACAAAGATCATGCTCAAGCCAGTGTGCCCACTTACTTAAGTCAGAAAACTTGGAAGTTATCCAAGATCTCTCTCACTCTGCCTCCCTTTCTCTTTTACCACTTGCCTTCGATTCTTCCGCATCTATAGGGAATAGTTAGCAGTTCTCTTTTCTAAATGAGGAACTGAGAAGATAAAATGCCACCACTCTGCAACCCATCCAGAGATTGGAAGAGGTGACAACTGTTCTAATCGATTACTAAAACTGGTCATCTTAAAACTTAGTATTACTTTGGAGAAGCAAGTTGCTTGTTTAACTTTTTCACCAGATGATGTATTGAATGTTTCCTCTGTAACTTCCTGCTTTCTGCAAAATATATGCTAAATATGTCTCTCTCTCTCTCTCTCTCTCTCTCTCTCTCTCTGTGTGTGTGTGTGTGTGTGTGAGAGAGAGAGAGAGAGAGAAAGAGAGAGAGAGAGATTTTTACAGGAAATAAGTAAAAGGGAATGTACTGTTTTTTGGGCTCTGAACCAGAATGAAGAAGAAAGTACCTTTAACAAGTGGTTCAGAGAATAAAAAATTCAACAAAGGCAAGGAATTAAATCTCTGGGATTCAATCATTTAACAACATTTACTAAATACCCTCTCAGGAAGTGCTGGATATGGCAGTAACCAGAAAATAAATTTCTTGCCTTCAGATAGCTTACCTCCTGGTGTCAAACCAGAATTTTTTTCTTCTTTTTTGCTTTTTTTCTTTGAGACACGGTCCTGCTTAGTTGTCTAGTCTGTTGTGCAGTGGCACAATCATGGCTCACTGCTTCTTGACCTCCCAGGCTGCTGGGATCCTCCCATCTCAACCCAAGTAGCTGGGATGGACTACAGGTTCAGGTTACTACACCTGACTAATTTGTGTGTGTGAGTGTGGGGGGGGGGATCTCACTGTGTTGCTCAGGCTGGTCTTGAACTGCCGAACTCAAGCGATCCTCCTGTCTTGGCCTCTCAAATTACTGGGATTATAAGTGTGAGCCACTGTGCCTGGTCCAGAGATAGATTTTTTTTCAATGTGCATATATTGGGTTCAAAAAATTTTTCTATGTATAAAGTGACTACAGGAAGCATTTGGGTTTCATAACTCTCTCAGGATAATTCCCTTTATTTCATATAATCTGTCACCACTTATTTCTAACTTTAATCCCTAAAGACATTAACTGAAAGTCGACAGTCCTCCCTCCCTTCAGCCTTTCCTCCTGGCACTCTTTTTTTTTTTTTTTGAGATGGAGTTTCACTTGTTGCCCAGGCTGGAGTATAATGGCGTAATCTAAGCTCACAACTTCTGCCTCCCAGGTTCAAGCAATTCTCCTGCCCCAGCCTCCCAAGTAGCTGGGATTACAGGCGCCCGCCACCATCATTTTTAAGTGTTTGCAACAGTAATCTTTTTCAACTCTAAAATGATGTGTTAATTGCAGTAGTAGCAGTAATGGCAGTAAATACATATGGTGAGATAAAAAATAAAATACGTACATGTCAAAAGAATGTCAAATATTAATAAAAAAGCAGGCAAAGTAAAAAGTCACCTTTTTAACACAGTCCCCTGTCCTCCAGTCCCTCTCTGCAGAAGCAACTGCTGTTATCAAATTATGTTTCATGTGTGTTCATGCATGTTCATGTGTCTATACCTTAAGAAATATTCTATGCACACATAAGTATACACAAATGATTGGACTCTTCATTTTTCTGTGTACATGAATTAAAAAATTCTATGAACACTATTCTACATCTTGCTTTAGAGCTAGTTCATAATATATACATATAGCACTAACATTTTTCATAGCTGCATAGTATTCTAAAGAATGAATATATCAAAATTTATTTAGGCAATCTTACTAGAAATCGAACCTCATTACTTTTCTATTAAAATCTTCAGTGTCTGGCCCTCCGCTCCAATCACATATATGATAAACTGCAAACCCCGAAGAATACCAGGAGGAATTTCTCATGGCTGGGATTTAAATAGGGAGTAAGCTATGGGGCCAAGTATATGCCTCCATAGTATTACATGTTCTATGCTGCTGAACTGTTTTCCATGTTTAAATTGCATTCTCATTCCCCTCATTTGTGCCATTAACTCTTATCCTCTCTTCTTGAGATATGTCCTCCAGTGTAATAAATCCTATATTGCATTCAAAATTCATTTTAGATTTCTGTTTCCAGGAATCTTACTTTGATGGCAGGTTCCAGGTGCAAACTGAGTCAGGCACTACTTTCATGTGTCTGCACAGCAACCAGTATATTGCTAAGTGTGCTGTATTGAGGTTGCGGATTTCCTTGATCGTCTCCTCTAATTGAGTGTAAATTTCCTTAGACATGAGAAATGGGCCCTATTAATCTCTGTATTGAAGAACATAGCACATAATTTACCTATTACGGGCCAAGGAAAATTTGTCCAATGACTAATCGAATGTAAAAAGCTTTATGACTCTCTTCTGATGTTCTACTACTCACAAAAGCTACCAAAATGAATCTATTTGGAGGATATGTTAGATCACTGGTACTAACAGTGTGGTCTTCAGACCGGCATTGTCAGCCTTGCATGGGTACCTCTCAAAAACACAAATTCTGTCCCACCACAGAGGTATTGAATCAGAAACTCTGAAGTCAGGCCCACCATCCCTGCTTTAACAAATCCTCTATGTGATTCTGATGCCTACTGACCCTTCAGAACCACTGCAAAGGAACATGTTTCTCAATCCCCCTACAAATGATTTTGCTCTTTATGTTAGAACCACTTCAGGAAAAAGAGCAAAATATCACAATGCTGTTCATATTTCCTTGTAGTACAATTTTATGGAAGTTCTGATTGTGTCCTACAATACTTAGTTTCTGCTAACAAATCTGTCTGACGGTTAACTCTGAGTCCCAGGGAGATTAAGAAAAATGAATCAAGTTTCAAACAGGTGATTCCTTGCACGAAATCATGCTAGATTTCTTGTTCCTAGACAAGTTATTCACAGGTAAAATTGTATTAAAGAGGAAATAGTCCTAGTATACATACAAAGAAAACATTCTTTTAAAAGACCTAGAAAATAATTCTTGTGATAGAGGATAATAAATGGGACGATGTCTCAGGATTGGACCAACCTAAAGCTGTAATACAGAGGGAAGGAAAAACAAAACAAAGCAAATTGTTTAGAGGCTACTAAAAGTAATTACTGTTTTATACAAAAGATCTTCTGATTCTCAGATTCTAAAGGAACAGATTGGCCTGTCTGGGGAGGAGGCATGTTTGCTGTTGCTTCTACTTTTTTTTTTTTTTTGATACGGAGTCTCTCTTTGTGGTCCAGGCTGGATTGCAGTGGTGGAATCTTGGCTCACTGCAACCTCTGCCTCCTGGATTCAAGCAATTCTCCTACCTCAGCCTCCCAAGTAGCTGGGACTACAGGCATGTGCCACCATGTTCAGCTTATTTTTTATATTTTTAGTAGACACAGGGTTTCACCGTGTTAGCCAGGATGGTCTTGATCTCCTGAACTTGTGATCTGCCCGCCTCAGCCTCCCAAAGTGCTGGGATTGCAGGTGTGATCCACCTCGCCCTGTCTACTTTTACTTTTTATATGTCTTATTCTTTACTTAGGCGGATTAGAATAGAACAGATTCCATTAGGAAGACTGACAGCCTATAATCATATGTAATAATATGTTTTCTCATTATTGTATAATTAAAAGTAACACGCATTTTTATTAAAAGGATGAAGGAAAAATTGCTTTCAACTTCACAAGCTTACATCTGACCTGCCCAACTCAGTAGATATAATCCAGCCACTCTTGTTCTTTTCAACCACTTTCCTCCTGCAAGAATGTATGAAATCTTCAGATGACTCATACTGATCCTAATCCTATGTGAAAGTTTCCTGTGTTTTTAAATCATGCTGAAAAGATAGTTAGGTTAGGCAGCTTTAAAGACATGTCTCCTTTGCCTCCGGACAAAGAAAAATAAACGTAATCTATCCTTGCAGATATATTCATCAAAACTCAAGGCCAGTGGAAATATTTATTAGTGCCTCTTCTATTTCTTAGCTTAGAATATTTGAGCTAGAAGAGGCTTGACAGGTCATCCAACCCAATCCCCGGAAGCAGAGATAAAAATAACAGCATCAGGGCTGAGGTTAGGTCCAGGATGGGAAAATCATGCCTTCTAATCGAACAACACCGTTTTGACACCATCATTGCAGGGAACGGAAAACTCTGCACATGGGGACAAATTCTGCCCTCCTCAGAGAACGATCACAACTAAAAATTCTTCCCAATCTCTAACCAGGCGAAGCAAATGCATGTTCTGATATTTTCCCTTCTTAAAAGAGCATTAATGTACTAACACATTACACTGGACGATGCTCATGTACAGTCGGCTTTTTTTGGGAATATGTGAAATCATATAATATTGACATTCCCTAAAGCTACAGCAGCTTTCATTCTAAATTCTGAAGTTTTCTCACAAACAGAGACATAGATAAAATGATCACCAAGAAAAAGAAATTTTTGTCTAAACCCATGGTTCAGTGGTAATTTAATTAATAAAACACTTTTCAAAACACAAATTAAATTACACTATATCAATCAGGATAGTTTATTGCATCTCTGATTAGGTCTACAATTTATTTATTCATTTATATTTATTTTTTGTGGGGATGAGGGACTTACTACATTGCCAAAGTTGGCCTCCAACTCCTGGGCTCAAACAATGCTCCAGCCTCACTCAGGCTCTCAATGTGCTGGGATCACAGGTATGAACCACCACACATGGCCCAAGTCTACAGTAGTTAAGCATTTTGTTTTCTTTCATATATGAGGCTAATACTCCTCAAACAAATATTTCATGACTGCAGAATTGAGTGTGTGTGTGTGTGTTTAATAATAATCCTTTTCTGAGGAGTTTTTTTAAAGAAGAATAATTCCTCTCTTTTTCCCTAATATTCAGATTTTCTCTAAAAAGGTCATAAGGTCATAATTTTAATGTTATTTCCAAGCCACCGTAACTTTAAGTTTTTCAGAATCTATTTTGCTGCTGTGCCAGGAATTCCCACAATATTCCACAATCCTGCCGTATGGTACACTGTCTTAAGTAAAATGAAGATGTTCTATTGAGAAGAGACCATAATGCATATTTCTTTGAGGCCCTGCCTATGTCATTTTGCACATGTCATCCAAGTGATCTCATATACCAGTTCTTTATCTAGGCCCTTAAAGTCTATGCACTGACTATGATATGTATTTTCTCTTGCTACTACCATATTTTTACTCTTCCAGAAAACAGTTGTCAGATGATCATGGACTTCCTTAAAGTAGAATGCCAGTTAATAAATAGAGAAGGAATAAGGGAGATTTTTTTTTTTTAGACGAAGACTTAGTCTGCCACCCAAGCTGGAGTGCAGTGGTGCAATCTCGGCTGACTGAAACCTCCACTTCCCGGGTTCAATGGATTCTCCTGACTCAGCCTCCTGAGTAGCTGGGATTACAGGTACACACCACCATGCCCAGCTAATTTTTGTATTTTTAGTAGAGACATGGTTTCACTATGTTGGTCAGGCTGGTCTCAAACTGCTGATATGGTGGTCTGCCCACCTCAACCTCCCAAAGTACTAGGATTACAGGCATGAGCCATAGCGTCTGGCCTAATGGAGATTTTTTTTTTTAAATCATGAATTAATGCTAAAACTATTGGATGAAAGTCTAATGAGAAATAAAATTGTCAGAATGTATTTCCCTACAAATTACTTATTAATAACAAAAGGAAAATAGTAGCTTTGCCAACAAAATCCCTGGCAGACACTATCTCAACCAGGTAAGCAAAGTTAGCATCATCAATATTGAGATAAACCAACCTCATGTAACTTGTAATATGGTGCCCTTAGAAAACCGCATCACTTCTATAGGGTTTTCTGTTAAAAACACATACTTGTAGTACTCACAAGAGAATATCAGATAAAGAGAATATCAGATATTTTGTAAAAAAATTTTTTTTTAAATACCTGGCATATAAACTCCAAAAATATAAATTTCAAGGAAGTCTGGGAAATTGTTCCATAAAAGGAAACTAAAAAGATATGACAACTAAATGCTGTCAGTCATCTTGACCTGTACCAAGAAATACAAATACCTATAAACAGCAATTTTAGAACTGCCAAAATTTTATATGAACTATAGATAGAATAATAGTATTGTGCCAATGCTACATTTCCAGATCATGATAATTACTCTGTGGTTAGAAAATACATTGAAGTATTTTGTGGTAATGGAAAAAATATCCCCAACTTGCTGGAAAATGATTTAAAAAAAAATGCAATATGTGTGAAAAGATAATTAGCAAATGATAAAATAAGTGAAGCAAACTTGATAAATATGGTGGGATTCTTGTATTAATATTTTTGTATTAACATTATTATTGTCAGAACTTTTCTGTAGATTTGAAATTACATCTCAATAAAATGTGTAAATATATATGGTAAATAATAATTAAAGCACTTCATCAAATATCTACAGGTGTATTTTTCCTCATTTGACAGATGAGTAAACGGAGATTCAAAGAGGTCAGGTTATTTGCATAAAAGAACATGGCTAGTTGGTGGAAGAATTGGAATTTTAACCCAGGAGTGCTGGCATCTAAGACTCTTCAGTCTAACATACTGTCTTCAACCAGGTGCCCTCCATCCAAGACACAGAGAAAGCTGATGAGACTTCAATTTATCCCTTTGTTGCTTCTTCCTCTGAGATGTGCCTAAGGTCTCACCTTGTAATTAAACGAGTCATGCCCTCTATATGTTTGACATTACTGAGAATGCTGAGTCACCCAATGTAAGACCATGGATCAAAGGACCTCTGGGATAGGTAATAACATTGCCATCCAGAAAGAAGCTACCAGTCACCTAGAAAAGATATTCAAGTCTCTGCTTCCTCCATTCACTTTCTTAATCTTCGAAATAAAACTTGAGTTGCTGGTTCCAAAGATCATTTTCTCTCTAAGACTAGATATTTTATTCTAATGACTTACTGAGCCAAAAGATTTGATAAAATCAACACAGAAGGGAATAAAAGGACTTGGTTCTAAGAAATTGGAAGGGTAGATACTATACGGAAGCTCAAACTAAGGTACTGGGCATGACAAAGCAGGTAAGATCAGGTAAGTACAAGATTCTCATTAGCAAACAGAACTAATATACAGCTTTAGAAGGATGAAAATTTTAATGATCAGTGATGCCTCTTCATTATCTGATTATAAACAATAATCAGAAGAGTAAGGATAATAAAAAAAGAAGCTTTCCTGCCAGGCGCGGTGGCTCAAGCCTGTAATCCCAGCACTTTGGGAGGCCGAGGAGGGTGGATCACGAGGTCAAGAGATAGAGACCATCCTGGTTAACATGGTGAAACCCCGTCTCTACTAAAAATACAAAACATTAGCTGGGCATGGTGGCGCATGCCTGTAATCCCAGCTACTCAGGAGGCTGAGGCAGGAGAATTGCCTGAACCCAGCAGGCGGAGGTTGCGGTGAGCCGAGATCGTGCCATTGCACTCCAGCCTGGGTAACAAGAAAAAAACTCCGACTAAACAAAAAAAAAAAAAAAAAAAAAAAAAAAAAAAAAGAAGCTTTCATCCACTAAGTGCCTGCAATATGAAAGACACTGCTAGGTATTTCTCATACATTTACTGCCTCATCTAAGCCAAAATATAAAGATGACCCAATATTTTACAGATGAACAATCTGAGCTCAGTGATGTTGAGCTGACTTGTTTATGGTCACAAGGATTAGGATCTAAAACACTAGCGAATGACAGCTTTTGGAGAGACTGGAACTATTAAAAAGAAAGATTGAGATTTAGAGGCAGAAATTCAGAGTAAAAGGATCATGAAAATCATGGAAGTTACAGGCTACTTCTACACAGAGATCATGAAGAATGAAACAAGTCTTTAGAGCTAGATAGATGAATGTCAGAGTTTAGCACATATAGAAGAGTCTTCACAACACTAGAAAATTTACCTAACCTCTTGCAGTGTTTGTTTCTAATTATGCAGTTATAATAACAACTAGATTTATTATGAGAATTAAATGAGATAATGGTTGTAAAGCGCCAGGTAGTGATTATGACTTTTTAAAGGACCCTGAAAAAGGTCACACACATGCATAGTGCTTTCCATGTGTCTCTGATGTTCATATTGTGTGCACTGGGGCATACAAATATATGAGTTAAAAGTTCTTTGGGGAAAAAAAGAATCCCCTTTTTAAAAAAAAATTAGGGCTGGGCGCGGTGGCTCACGCCTGTAATCCCAGCACTTTGGGAGGCTGAGGCGGGTGGATCAAGAGGTCAAGAGATCGAGACCATCCTGGTCAACACGGTGAAATCCCGTCTCTACTAAAAATACAAAAATTAGCTGGGCATGGTGGCGCATGCCTGTAATCCCAGCTACTCAGGAGGCTGAGGCAGGAGAATTGCCTGAACCCAGGAGGCGGAGGTTGCGGTGAGCCGAGATCGCGCCATTGCACTCCAGCCTGGGTAACAAGAGCGAAACTCCATCTCAAACAACAAAAAAAATTAAGTTATGGGATACATGTGCAGAACATGCAGGTTTGTTACATAGGAATACATGTACTATGGTGGTTTGCTGTACCTATCAACCCATCATCTAGGTTTTAAGCCCCAATTGCATTAGGTATTTTTCCTAAGGCTCTCCCTCCACTTGTCCCCTACCTCCTGACAGGCCCCAGTTTGTGAGGTGCCCTTCCCTGTGTCCATGTGTTTTCATTGTTCAACTCCCACTTATGAGTGAGAATGTGCGGTGTTCCGTTTGTGTGTTAGTTTGCTGAGAATGATGGTTTCCAGCTTCATCCATGTCCCTTCAAAAGACATGAACTCATTCTTTTTTATGGCTGCATAGTATTCCATGATGTATATGTGCCACATTTTCTTTATCCAGTCTATCATTGGTGGGCATTTGGGTTGGTTACAAGCCTTTGCTGTTGTAAATAGCACTGCAATAAATATATGTGTGCATGTGTCTTTATAGTAGAATGATTTATAATCCTTTGGATATATACCCAGTAATGGGATTTGCTGGGTCAAATGGTATTTCTGCTTCTAGATCCTTGAGGAATCTCCACACTGTGTTGCACAATGGTTAAACTAATTTACACTCTCACCAACAGGTAAAAGCATTCCTGTTCTTCACATGCTTAAGACGGTTCATGCTACATCCTTTCTGAGTATAATAGCTTTCAAAATGTTGTGAGAAAAAAGCTAGGATTAAAAAAAACCATGCATTTATTTAGCATCTGCCAGTGTTAGATGGTTTTATCAGTTCCAACAAAAATGTTACACAGATATCTTAACTAATAAACATTCGCTTTGAAAGCACAGTCTGCCGAAAACTGAATAGAAGGGAGATGCTGAAGGCATAATGACATAGAGGAAAGATAGAGCCTTTGGCTAAAATGTTGAGTTGAACCTTTTTCTCATACGTCTCTGAGCTGTTCTTTAATACAGTTGCTGAGAAAATTTAACATATCATTTTCTCCTGTAATGCCAAATTCAAATTTAGTGACGTTTGTAGTAGCACTACTAGTTGTAGTAGATGCTGTAATAGTAACACTAGCAGTAACTAAAGCTAACAATAATTTATTAATGAATAATAAAAATTTGGATTGTCATTATAGTTAACCTTTATACAGCACCAGTATGCCCTATTCTAAGTGCTGTCCTTCTATCAACTAATTTAAGGTATTTAACAATGCTGAAAAGTTGAGTGACTTTCCAAGGTTCAATAATAGTAACTGCTGTTGGTTGAGGCTAGAAAAGGATCTGGGACTCATTCACATAGATAATGAAGACACAGAAATGAGGGAATGATTGATTGGTCTAGCTCTGAAATTCAGAAATGTGATTCTGAAGCAACAGAGAAAGCTGACTGGAAGAACAGATCTGACCACCTACGTGGAGAAGACTGGACTTATAATTTTCCATTCTCAGTCCTTTGTTTAATGTTTAATCCTTACACTTAGAGTTAATCAAACAGCAACTCATTCAAGATGGAATTTTCACTTCATCTCCTTTACTTAGGATTTCTGGGTTGGGATGGAGAGATGTATATTAGGAGTCCTGAAAGTAATTCAAGCCCTGAAATTCAGCTAATCCAAGGTGACCTGAGACCAGCCCTTCAATACAATAAGGGTGTGTATATGTGAATATCAACCTGATGTATATCTGTTCACACAGCTACCTCATGCAAAAAAATAGCCCGAGGTAAATACACAAGCTATACTTTCTGCTTTTGACTGGAGGCTTAACTTGTCAGTGATAATGATTTACATAGCGATCTTCTCCCTTCCTGCCTGGAAAGTTGCACTAGCTTCAAGCTATGTGCTTTGTTAAAGAGTCGGGGAGAGAGAAATTCTTTTTACTTCAAATCGGTTTTGATTGTTAATTCTTTTCCAGGAGTAATGTGAGATCTGGATAATGTAGGTGAACTGGTAGTAATGCTGTTGTTGCTAAGAAAACAATTAGATATTATTTTCAAAAATGACACAAGAACAGAGGGCCAGGCACCGCATGTTTTCACTCATAGGTGGGTGACAAACAATGAGAACACTTGGGCATAGGGAGGGGAACAACACTCACTGGGGTAGGTGGGGAGGGGAAGAGGGGAGGGGAGGGGAGGGAGAGCAGTAGGCGAGGAGGATGGGGAGGAATAGCACTGGGAGAAATGTCTGATGTAGGTGGCAGGAGGGATGGAGACAGCAAACCACCATGGCATCTATGTACCTATGCAACAATCCTGCAGAATGCAGGATGTGCACATATACGCCAGAGACCAAAGCACAATTAAAAAAAAAAAAAGAAAAAAGGAGTAAGGTTGTTTAAGAGTGAATAGCCCACTACTGAATATTTTTACCTTGTTTCTTGTAGTAAATTTTCTTATCATTCAGAATCTTTTTGTGCGTCTTCATGACCTCAGCAAACACCCTGATATGTCCCCAGTAGATATGGTAGTATAAATGTATTAATTCACTTTACTCAATAATTTGTCAACACTTTGTAATAACAAGTTAATCAATTGTATTGATTTTGAGAAAAAGAAAGTAAATTAATCTGTAGAATGCCATAGTAGTTTCTAAACTGTGTGTGCATATGTTTGATGAAATGATATAATGTGTCTACCCGAGAAACTTCAACTTTTTTATAAGAGACTATTTATCAGAAAAATTTAGAATTGAAATTGAAAGCAAATATATTTACATTTAGGGTTTGACTCAGCAGCTTTCAGCTGACTGACCTTAAAGAAACTGTACAACCTCATTAAATCAGTTTATATCTACAAACTGAAATACATGACAGTGTGTACCTCATATGGAGTATAAGAGCACTCAATGAGATATGCCCTAAGTGTTCAACCTATTGCAAGCATTAAAGTAGTCAAAATGTTAGCCATTCGCATTATTGATGATAATCAGATTTCCTATTACATGTATTAGAAGGGGATTCTAAAATGGATGTTGTGATACAGCAGAGTCTAGAAATAAACTTCTGGTGATAAAATACCCCATTTTTATAAGAACAAGTCAATAGAAATCTTAGGTGAATTTACAAGTTTTACAATTTATCTTAGGTAATGGATCTTACTGACACTGTATTTAAAAACAAATTTATCAGAAATGTCTGGCACATAATCATCCATTAGTACAAAGGTTAAAAATTGTCTTAATAAATATGCGATTTCGGTGGTAAGCATGTGTGCGTATCTTGAAGGAGGCAGGCATATAACATGCTTAAGTTATTGTGAATCAGGGATTCCTTCTCTTCGGTATTTATAAAATGTGCCATTAAAAGTTAGCTTTTATTTCAACAAATTCCATATACTTTGAATCAGGATTTATTTTAACCTTTGCAACAGTTTGAAGATCAAGCGTTTTTAAAATTTTGCACAAAAAATAATAGCAGTTGAATAGCTCTATGTTATTGCAACATAATAGCTTTTATAAAGTATGTTTTAATATGCAATCTCCTTATAAGATGTTATAGATTTAATATTTCATTATAATTCATAGTATTATGATGGTGGTTATTTTATACTTGCATGCATGAACAGTTTGTAATGCCTGACTGTGGTTTTTTTCAGGGATATGTTTACTCTTAGATGGCTCAAAAGAGATGATCCTTTTGACTTATGTTCCTCTAAGGTGGTCTACAGCAGGACAGAAGTCAATCTACTGTGTCTCACATAACTGTTGAATTAGATGGGTTACTGAGGGTGGAGGTTCAAAGTTGGAGTCATCTTTGATATCCCTCTCATCTTGATCTTCCAAATAATTATTATATTGGCATGCGGCATTTTGAAATATTAGACATGTTCATCTATCAATATGGAATGTGGTTATCCATCATTTTATGCTACTTTTTCTTCTTCTCTTTAAATATTGAAAAGTAAGTGACAATTAAACATATACTTTCTGTAAGGCTGGTTGCCTCCCTGGGAGGCCGGACACACCCACCTCTGCACTTGGCACCTGACTCTGTACCCAGCACCAGGCTCTGCACTCGGCACCTAGCTCTGCCACATGGCTCCCCTGGCCAGATCTCATACCGGAAAAACCGCCTGACAACCCGCCAACCAATAGTGGCCTGCCCCGTTCCCATCCCGCTCCCCTGGAGCCAATCAGAGCACCCAGCTGTTGCTCATTCCTCATAGCCATAAAAACCCCATGCCCCAGGAAGTTGGCACGACTTCTCTGGTCCCCTTTCCCCAGACCAGAGAACCTCGCTCAGGAGCTGAATAAATTGGCATTTAATTTTCTTATACTGGCCTCAGTTTCCTCATTTTAAACTCGGCAATAACCCTTACACTTTCCTCTATGCCTTCAGAAGGCAAAACACTGCTTCTCCCACTTAGGATCAGTTTGTATGAATCAAAATCATAGGGAAACAGAATGTTGTATTCCAAAGGGCACTGGAAAGTACTGAAGGCACCCAGGTTATTGTACAGATGGGAAACATATGGCCATAGAATAATGGGATCAAAAGACATCTAGCTAATGGTAATTTTAAAAAGCTTTAATTAATGACAAAAATGTCCAAGGCATGAAATGTCTAGAATAGAATATCATAATACTTAGTCCCCACTCAGTGAACTAGGATTTCACATCTATTGTTTAGGGGAATTCCTAAAGGACAAATCTTACAAACTAACTTTCTCAATGAGGAAACTGAGGGTTAACCACACTAACTCTCACATAAGTTTACAAGCTGAGTATGGGGCTGTGGTGACAGGACTTGAAGCCTGGCTTTGTCTAACTTCAGAACAGAATCTCATTGTCACAACCCTCCAGGCTACCATATTTCTCCATGAAAAAGATACGAGCCTGGACTCTTGACCTGCAGAGGTCAATAAGGTATTGCAAGGTAGGATATTCCATATAAGCTGTTCTATTTCAGGCAATAAAGATGACAGATAAATAGACAAGCCATTGTGGTTATAACAACAAAAAAGATAGAAGCTGTGTTGAAAACTTGCTAATGGTTTCAGAAATTTATGCTAATCATCATTTTCTAATTCTGTATAAATGTGTGTGTCTGTGGATATGCGAATGTGTATACCCCCTGGTGTTTCAAACACAAGGTTATGGTTCATGAAAAGCAAGGCTTGGGGGCTTGGGTAAAACAATATATTTTAAACAGTAAATTGTAAAATAGAAAATACTGTTCTTTAAAGAGAATAGAGGTTCAAATTAAGTACCTGTATTCAGTCAATCAGTCTTAATGCTTAGAGTTTTCGGGGGAGAAA